TGATGCACGACTTGCAGATTGAGAGTTACTTGTCTGGGTGGCGATGACGCCTTTATAAGTCCGATCGCCCCTGCCTGTTCGCAGAAGCATTGATGCGATTGGGGACGGATCCTAATTGGAACATGAGCTACTTCACGTGGTGCTGATGACTTCTTGTAGATTAAGGCGGCTTCTTCATCAGCATAAAGGAACACTTTCTGAAACGCAAAGAGACAATACTTCTTCGATCAGTAAATGAAGCTGTTTTCGTACATTGTGGTTGTATGCTGGAGACGTAGCAGGCAAAGAGCTATTTCCCTTCCTTAGGAAGTCCGGATAACCGCAGGGAGATATTGTATGCGCTGCCATTTGCAGTCCCCACATCTCTAGTGGAAATAATAAAGTGAAACGAACGTAAAACAAATAACGGAAAAACGAAGGAAACGAAATCATTAGCTTTGATCTCCCCACAACATATACTAAAAACCGCAATGACTCATCACATGCGACAGTGGGTAACGGTACTTCTGGGAGCCCACCAGCGTCAGGACAAATGGTCGTCCAAAACTGGGGCTGGTCGGACCCCCCGGCCGGACATGCCATCAGGAACAGAGCAGAGCGCTGCCGCCCGGCTGACGGCAGCCGGCCGCCGGCGCGTCCGGCACAAAGGAGAAGGCGCCAGATTGACATGCGGAACCAATGATGTGACCGGGCCTCCGGCGGCCGAGGACGAGGCCTGGCCGCAGCCGACGGCACCGTGGAGCGGAGCTGTCAGGAGGGGCGAGAGGCTTGCGTACCGCCGCCGCGCAGCTCACAGAGTCACCGGCCACTCACCGTCCCGCGTCTGGCTGGCGTGGCGCTCGACGCAGCTGCACTCAGCGGCTACAAGACCCAAGAACGAAGACTGTAGCCGATCAGGATAAGCCATGCTCAGGGAGCTGTCTTCATAACCGGCGCGCTGACACAGATGAGCATGAGCCCTCGCTCAGACCACAACAGAACCCTCGAAGCGGGTAGCTGGGCCCACCGCCGGTGCCGGTCTGTCCCGGACCGGACCGAAGACCGCCGGCAGACCGGACCGCCGAGGCCAGACAATGGGGTCCGGCGCCTTCAGATGAGGCCGCCCCGCGACTAATCGGCCCAGACGCCTTTCATTCGAGCGCTATCATTGTGGAGGAACGGTGCCGTTAATTGAAGCACGGCGAATGCCTTATGGCCGCGTATGGTGTCAGATGTCGCCTAACGCTGTTCCCAACGCACACGTGACTGGGAAGGTTTTTCCATTAAACAGTGCTCCCCTTTTGAGTAAGAAGTCGACACGCAGTCGTGACATGACTCTACTGTTTCGTGCATACATGCTATTTACACAATTGTGCCCATTACAGGCAAAATGTCCTTTTATGTGCATCACCACTTATGTGTCCTTGTCATTAATGCTATAAATTTTTACCGCCTCTGCAATATTCATGCCTCACTCTTACTCGCATATGAATGATTTAACTTTATGTTTGTACCATGTACGTGTCTAGACGAGGCTGGTGTTTCAGCTGTACGTATCAGGTAGCCATTTAAGCCCGTATCACGTTAGAATTGTTCGACAGCGATGTAACTTGGTACCAAATTGGGTGATTTGGATATAAGAAATGGCCTAGCGAACAGATCTGAGTGCGGAGCGTAAGAAACTGTCCGGATGTACAGAGGCTCTAGCGTCGGCGTCTTGGTAAGACAAGCGAAAACAAAGAATATATGAATATATATATATATATATATATATATATATATAGAAGAGAGAGAGAGAGAGAGAGAGAGAGAGAGAGAGATATATATATATATATATATATATATATATATATATATATATGCATTTATATAGATGAATAAACAGTGATTTATATGGCGACTCAAAAAAATTGAAATGCAAGTCAAAATAGTAGCTGCGTTGCTCAACCCGGCACCAGTGATAAAGAACCCGCTTGCATCCAAATTATGCGCACTTACATCCTCTACACAACTTATAAACTGAACTGAACAGAAACACTGATTGTTACCTATGCTCGGTACAGACACACACGGGTCTCAGAAAAACCTGAGACACGATAAACTTCTTTGTCGCAAACAGCAAACGGCCGGTTTATCGCGACAACCCTAAGTTTGCTTTCATTGTTCAGCTGTTTGCTGCTCTCCTGAACCGTGCCCGCTCAAGGTCTTTATCTCTGTCCGGAGAAGGTTTATGTTGAAAAACGGCTTGAGACTCGACTGGTTTCTGTTCCCAAAAGCTCTGGCTCCTGTCGGTTATGTTGACCTAATTGAGTGGCATGTCCTTAGGGCAAGTCCACCCGCGCTTTGCGATGGCTGACTTTCCAAGATGGCCTTTTAGGATCGCATTGGGGTGCTTGGCAATCCTAGTGGGAAGCGGCTATCTGTCCCAATCTTGATCCGAGATGGTCCGAAAACTGGTGGAGATATCTACGTGTTTTGCTCTCAATTAGACCCTGAAAACCCCAGAAAACATAGCGTTTTAAGCTTACAACTACTGATTTCAAACATGACTTAAACATCACATAACGTTTACTTGATGTAGCACGGTGTCGTTCACACGGCTAGATCGCGTGTGTGAGCGTGGACGAGTGCGAGTCCATGAGTTCATTCCACACGGCTGAATGACGTGTGTGACCGTGGACGAACAAGAGTTCAGAAACTCTCTTCAGACGAACGGATCACGTGTGTGGCCATGGACGAGTACGCGTTCATGATCTCACTTTACACGGCTGGATCATGTGTGTGACCGTGGACAAGCACGAGTTCATAAACTCACTTCACACGGATGGGTCACGTATATGACCGTGGACGGGCACGACGAGATCATGAACTCATATATGCTTCTCACCCATCGAGCGTGCACCGGCTGCTCTCTGTGACTGCACATAACACGGCATATATTGCTGCCAGTGGAAGAAACCCGAGCTGTGGCCTACGACGTGTTCAACCTGCGCTCAAAGCATTAGGAAAAATTAATCTGTTGACCTCCCGTAAGGCAAGGAAAAAAGCAAGGCTACCTGACGCGAAGTTAGTAGAACCTTAAATACCGATATAAAGGATATCCAGTCACAAGTGGTTATACAGGCCTCGCTTTGAAACTAGATTTTGGACAGAAAGGCCCACTAAAAAGTCAACGTATTCGCGTTAATACAGAAAGCGTTTGGACGAATTTTGCAACGTCTAGGATTTAGCATATTGGGATGCAGTGCTGTTACCTTTTTAACAAAATGTATGATAATGGTGGACGTTTCTATCATGGTCATGTTTTATTCGACTTCCACTAAATCCTTCGATAGTTTAGCATATGTTTTTAGGGACTTAAGCTATTATTTGCTGCACCGTTGATGCAAGTTTTTGCTCATTATTTTGCTTTAATCCAATACCCTCTCCTAACGAGGCCTTCGCACATGTCTTTTTCCTTTAAATACACAAATCTGATAGAGCCTCGATGTACATCAATTGATCAGCTGGACAGCATGACGTCTTTGTACAACAGTGATGGACAATCGTGGTTTCGTAATCGAGTGTGAGCTGACATTTTAAGGCTTGAAGACAAACAACATCGTCTCCGTCGGTGAAGACCACCTTGTTTTCCGCCGGATCTGTATCCCCATCACGGCAGACAAACCGCGTCCCCGTTTTGATCAAAGCAATGATTTGAGCGGGTGCAGTTGAGTAATCTGCAGGACGGCTTAACCGACCGCATGGCCAGCACATGTAAGTCCCCGTAAGCCCTCCAAACGTGGGCGGATCATTTCTGGAGACGGAGGTGCGTTGGATCCAGCTGTGGCCCATGGCCAAGGCCATATTGGGAGACGAAACGACGCGACATCTGTGTACAATGCGGCGGGTTTTCTGGGAGACGGAGTCAGGCAAACGACGATATCCCGGATCCAAATCCAATAGTTTTTGCGCCGCGTTCGAGCTATCAAATTACCCACCATTTGGTGACCTCCGCACCTGTGTTCGAATACGATCAAAAACAGGAACGGGAATGGAGAGAGACAACGCCGCGATCACATTTTTGGAGATATTTAAGACAAGCTCTGTGCCGCTGCATTCCCAAGATGACTTGCAGCTTATCCTGCCTCCAAACTTCTTGGAAACTTTTTTCATATCTGTCTCATACGGGAACGCTCTCATTGTGTTGGGATGTTGTAGCAAAGTGCATGTGCGAGAAACGACCGTGCCAGATGCGTGTAAGAAACATCACGACAGACCCTGTGAAATACCTTCGGTGCATAACACGCGCAGCTGGACGCACTGGGTTAGGCAGATACTTACTTGGATCCAATTTGCTACCTAGTTGGATCCAATTGGCACAACCCTTCGTAAAGTATATGCGATGCAGTGTTGAGCTTAATGCACGGTGGGATGTTCCACAGGGTGTCACTTTATCCTGTGACGTCATTTTCGCAAAGCACTCTTTCGTTTTATCTAGGCTAAGGTCTTTGCACTGAAATGGCCGTGTGAAATGCTCGGCAAGAAAATGCAGAATTGCAGCCTTTTAACAGCACAATCATCCCCATTGTCACGTCTTGTCCGAAACGCGTGTCGATTAGTCACAGCTGATGCGCTCACAAAGGCCAAAGTCGGTTACAATCAGCAGCCGGCACGCAACACAAACAGCCTGCTGCGCCCCACCCCTTCCTGATCTCCGGCCCGTCGAGGGCGGCGGAAGAAAGGCAAACATTTGATCATCACAGGAATGCGCGCCGCGCGGTCTGCCCAATCCATGCGATTGTGCGCGCCACCATTTATCAGCTGGGCAGGTAATGGCGGGCTTTAATCGGGTCCATTGTGCACCTCTGACTGGTCTGCTCGCGTCCGGAGATGCCGCGCCGCCTCCAGAGACCACCTCCTCCGCCAGCGGGCCGGCGTGAGAGTCTCTGTAGTTCGGCGAGCGGCCGCCAGGGGCCCGGCGCGTGGCGGGCGGCGGCGCGGCGGCGCGCGGTCGGCAGTCCGGCTCGGTGGGTCGCAGGGGTGGGTGCGGGAGGAGGCGCGGCGGCAGCTCGCGCGCGCGGCTCACGCGTGGACCTCTGGCTCCGGCGTGGACCTCCAGAACAGCCGCTCGGCTGCGGGTGATGTGAGCTGCGTGGCCGTGCGTGGCAGCGGGCGGGGCTGAGACTTGCTGTTCGCGTCTATATCCGACGCACTCTGCGCTCGCAATTCACGATGCTGAAGACCGTCGCCGTTGCGCTGTCGGCGGCGGCCCTCTGCGGAGTCCTCTGCTCAGGTCAGTGGTCTGAAGAGGTCATCTGTCAGTGCGGAACCGTGTTTACGGACACATGTGTTGACTTGCTGGCCTAAAAAAACATCGATGCTTTTTATCACTCGACGCGTTCCAACGGTAGAATGGCAAATCGGTAATGATAGAGCAGTGAATTAGGTTACATGTGAATGCTTTCCGGCAATGAAAGGACTAGCATTGCAGGAGAGGAGGATATGTCGTAGTCACGGGCATGTACGTCTGGCTGGTCTTTCTTTAAAAACCGGGACCGGGAGCAGCTACCCGCTTGGCTTCATGCATCACATATATAGCGGTAGTCACAGTGCATGAAATAAGACCGTGAGCAGTTCGCTAATTTGTGCCAGAATTTGGCGTAAAACGAATATCTGCAAAGGAATGGACAAATCTAGTGCAGTTAACATGCAAAGAGAAATTGAAAAGGCGGTGGACTCGGAACGGAATCGGAATTACTCAATTCATTTGAAGCAGAGCCTCAGATTTACTTGTGGTAGACCACATCATGTATGATGCATGAATTTAAGTTATCACGTAGAACAACTGAAGATAGGCACCGGGCGCGCCACATACAGGAGGCTGGAGGGCTTCTGTGTGCTGACGTAGTGGAGCCGTCACAAAACGCTGAGCACTGTGCCGCAGCACGATTAAGGATTGTCAGAAGTCTGCAACATTAAAGTTCAATGATTTGTCCATTGAGGGCATATAATTGATCACTGGTGTCAATGATGTGATCAAGAGACAGCCATCCGCTAGTGTGCATTAAGCTTTGTGCGCTACAAGTTGTCGCGGTTAGTTTATTGCGGTTCGGCAGCTATGCATGTAGTTTGTCTTGATTCATATGCATTTATTCACTGTACTGACATAAACCACGCTATCATCAAAATTTAATGCGTAATTTAACGCGCACATGCTCTTGCGTCGTGAGTAATGGTTCACTCGTCTCGATATTCATGATGTGAATGTCGTCTTCCCTAAAAGTTCTCTACGTTCCCTAAAATAAAGTAAAGCTCGGTTGACTCTGTTTCAACTCGTGGCTGTTGATACCATCTTACCACAAATTGCTACTTATGTGCTTAAAGCACAGTATGTACTCACGAGCACTTGAATCCACGGGTATCCCCAGTTTGAGAAAACCCCCGACCATCATTTCGAACGTTACTGTTCGCCATGGAGTTGCCAAAAAAGACCCACGGACCCCATTATAAATCAGCTCGTATAGCCATGAGACGACACGCTGGCAGGGGTGCACAGCGTGCGCGTCTGCTCCACCGCTTGATCCCACTGCTTAAACCGGCTAAACACCATATGTATCACACATATTTCAGTCAAAATTGAATATGAGTTGCACGCTGTCTCTTCAGGTCCGACGCAACATGCGGCTTGAGTCGGATGGACACGTATGTTTGGCTTGGCACTGCGTGTATTTACGATGCCGCCCATAACCGTCCCGCGACGTAAAATCTCCAACGCAGATCAACTAATTTATTTTGCAGGAAATGTCATGTTTCGCATGCCGCACTTCGGGGTGATCTGACCATGGCTGCGCTCGTGGAAAACAGTTCGCGGAAGATTTCTGTCGGCCGTTTTGCAGTAAAACTGTGCCCCCCCCCCCCCCCCACCCGGTCGATTTCAATAGTCTCACGACGTTAGTGCTGCTGCAAAAATTATTCTGACAGGAGTGCTACGCCATCATTTATGCGCAACATTACTTATACTGCAAACATTTATGCAGACTTTACTCATATGCAACATGACGCCTACTGCAAATGCTTATATACAACATGAATGCTACGCGACATAACTTGTGCTTCAGAAACTTACATACGTTACGACGCCCACTGCGAAAGCTTGTACAATATTTACTTATATGCGACATTGCTTCTACAGCTGAAACTCACGCACGAGATGAGTGCTGCACGACAAAACTCACACTCGTCATTACTTGTGTAGCGAAGACTTAAACAGTCTTCAGTTCTGCGCGACATTGCACCTTTTACAACAACAAAAAAACATACACGACATGAATATTACACGACAAAGCTTATGCTCCAAAAACATGCCAGTCATAACTTTAAAAGTAAAGACCGCAAGTTTTCGATGGATGGAATGGATGAAGTCGCCTGAGGCTGTGCGCCGGTCTCCAGACCGGTGGCTGCCCCATCTGACGAGCATGCGTCAGATGAAGTCGCATGAGACTGTGGGCCGGTCCCCAGATCGGTGGCTGCCCCATCTGACGAGCATGCCTCAGATGAAGTCGCATGAGGCTGTGGGCCGGTCCCCAGATCGGTGACTGCCTTATATGACGAGCACGCCTCAGATGAAGTCGCATGAGGCCGTGGGCCGGTCCCCAGATCGGTGGCTGCCCCATCTGACTAGCGTGCATTAGATCTGACCAGCGCCGCGCGTCTGCCGCTGTAATACCGTCTGGATCACAAAGCGGCGGTCGATACCAGGAAACGTCAGGGTCGAATGCTGAGCTGGAGTTTGAGCAAGACAGATATTCGACACTTCGACACTTCTTTCCAGTTGGAAAAAGATATCACTTTGTCTTCCAGGCAGCAGTCTCGCAGTGCAAGTACGTGTTATGGATGTTGTCAACATGCTTTGAACGCACCCATCTGGAAGGGCACCAGAGGTTTTCCAGAATTGGAGAGGGACGGAGAGCCACTTTTGGTAACTTCTTCGTAGCCAACGTCCGTAGAGCCAATGTGAAGCTGTCAGTAAGTCGGCAGGGAGCTCAGCTTCACGAATTTCTCCTCCCTCTCTCAAGTTCCGGTGCCCCTTCCTATACATATGGGCCACATTTCTCTCCCCCTCCCCCTCCCACGTTCCCGCATTCCTTCCCATACATATGGGCCACATTTCTTCCCCCTTCCTCTCCCAAGTTCCCGCATTCCTTCCCATACATATGGGCCACATTTCTCCCCCTTCCTCTCCCAAGTTCCCGCATTCCTTCCCATACATATGGGCCACATTTCTCCCCCCTTCCCCTCCCAAGTTCCCGCGCCCCTTCTCATATATATGGGCCACATTTCTTTCCCCCTTCCCCTCCCACGCTCCCGCGCCTCTTCCTATACATATGGGCCACATTTCTCTTCTGCTTTGTCACCTGCAGTCGCTGGGCCCTATGAACGACTGTCGAACGGCGTCATCGATTGAGCTTTGCAGCCAATAAAGAACTGATGCTAATTCCTGGGATACAACGATGCCATTCCTAGGCGCCGAATCGATGGCGCTGCTTAAAGGCTTTAGCCGCCTTTGACATCGCACTAGCGAAAGGGAGAGGCTGAAATTGGTGTCCCGCGACCTCGCGCCTGTTCGACGCGGACGGCCTCATTCTGAACCATCTTACCGAGACGTGTCGGAATCTCATCACCACTTCGTGCTGTCGGGCATGTTTGAGCGCGCCGTGATCGCCAAACCTCCTACTGTGCGTCGCGCCGTGCGCGTGGCGCGCGTGACGAGCGCACCTGGTCAGCACTTAGTTGAGGCCTTGTCTGGATCACTGCGTGCGGAGTTCGTTTGGTTGCAGTGAGTTCTGGTTGTACCTGGCATAATCCCAGCCAGCTGCGCGCCGGTGGGCTAAATCCCGAAAGTAAGGGCCTGGCTGACGTGTGCCTGCCGCCTGGCACCATCTGACAGCTTGTGACGACACGGCTTCGCGCGGCGTGTCAATACGTTGGGCTCTCCAGTGGGCCCGAGCTGATCGTACGGCGGCTGCTGAGCCAGGCTTTGCATACTGCCGTCCCAGAAACGGCTCATCAAACAGCAAATAATATTTTTGGATGGTTTTGTCTTCACTCAAATGCCAAAACAAGTTATGGTGTCGAATAATATGCCTAGGTTTTTCCATCAGTTGATATTCCTATCTGTCTTTTGCATTCTTTAGTTGCCTCGTCCAGTATGATTTGTTTTCGTTGTGTTTTTGAAGAGGGCATACCTCCATTGAAAAGGTCAGGAGAACTGAGCGCGGCTTATTGTGCGCTTGGGCTTACACCAGCCTGGGTGTGCGCAAGTCAGGCTTTTTCCCACAATGTCCAAATCGTGATGCGTTTGTTAGCACCTTTACACGCAATCATTTTCTGAGACACGCGCGTTTCCGCCACAAGTTTGACCTCATTTTTGTCAGCGACTCACAGATTACTTGACTGAAAAAAGTGAAAAAATGAGCAAGGCACACAGTGATGCTCTTGGCGGTACTTCCGGGTTGAGTGTCCTCGGGTTCCTATTCAGCGATGTGTGGCAGGAACCCAACGCTGTGAGATGGGGATGATACCATGACGGTAAGTGTAGTGAGCGACAAGATTACTTGACGATCGTGACTTGTTACTCTGCCTAGTCATCTGGGCGCGCTGAGAAGGATTGGCACAGCAGTGTGCATGAAAACAATTACATTTACTACGATCAGACGCCTGTTTACTTCGAAACCAGCTGCAGTTTACCTGCTACCTGGAGTTAACTTCGAGCGCACGCCGAGAAGAAGGGGCGAAATGGAGGGAGGACGAAAACGCACGGCGCTTTTCGCATGTCTTACTGTCCGCCTACTACCAAACCTAACGTCACAACATCCTCACCCGAATAGTTGCCATCGGCAGTTTCCAGGCAAAATCGGAGTCCATAAGTCCGGTAATGTGACGGACGCAAGTTGGGAATCAAGCCTATTTAGCATAAGCTCAGGTCCTCCGCTCGGGTAAAAAGGTTCTCAAACGAAAAAGAAACCTTGTCAAGCATGAGCTTGTTAGCTTCATGCATAATCAAACTGGACATGAAGCTTGCAGCCATAGGTCATGAATGGGATCCATCCATAAATCACGCGAAAGTGGTCATCAAAATATTTCTGCTACAAGGGAGATTACTTCGTGGCGCATCCTAGGTAGAGCAGCTCCGCGTCATTTCCGTATAAGACCAGCATGCGGCCCGCTTGAATTGGAAATGTTCGCGAATTTAGGGGTAGGCAGGACCATGTCCGCCACATTTTCCGCTCAAGG